CTCTCTGGATACCTCTGATAGGCATTCTCCTTATTGTCTTTTCTTAATGGTTAGGTAGAGATTGTTAGACACTCTATGAGTTTGCAACTTTCTGAGCAGGTGAGTTTGAATATGGGTAAGAATATTCAGGATAATGAGCCAACTATTGTTAATCTCTTTAATACTAAAAATAAATTACTATTTCAGGAACTTAGGACATTTAAAATAAGCCTTCAGTTATGGTCTTTTATTTTTAAAAGTATGCTCAAAAGGACTGCGGGAATTGCAGACCTCACTGAGGATTTCTGTACACCTGTCTCAACTGTGCAACAAAAGTGTCCTGGCAGTTATATAGAGGTGGGGAAGGGGAGAGATGATGAAGCATTAGTTGGAAAACCCTGGGGCCCTGACTTCTTGCTCTAACTTTCCGTGCATTTTTTGAAAAGGAGCAGTGTGCATTTCGGCACCCTTTGTGAACTAAGTTCCTCTATCCAGATTTGCCTAATTGAACTGTAGAAAACAATTCTATTTTCTTTCCCCTCAGGGACTGAGCAAATGGAAATGACTCCCAGACAGTCTACCAACTGGTCACTAGAGACTTTTATAAAAACTTTCTGAATGATATGAAACATGATGTCATGAGTAAGGTTGAGCCAACTGCTGTATAATCAGCATTTCTACTACAGTTTTCCTTGATGCAATTGGGAGTTATGCCCTAGACCAGTGGTTCTCAACCTTCCTAATGCCACAGCCCTTTCATACAGTTCCTGTGGGTCACGACCCACAGGTTGAGAACCGCTGCCCTAGACTAACTATATTGTCCTTGTCACAGCTCCTTGCTTTGATGTCACCCTTGATAAAATGAAGATGAAACTGTATTACTCCTTCTCCTGTCTAACCATTTCATTAAGATGTCTCTTGGACTCAAGCCTTTTGCCCCCTTGAGAATGAGATGTGACATTAACACTAACTCTAGAATGGAAATATAACAGAGAGATGGTAATAAAGGACTTTTTCTGGTATAGACCCTCCAAGCAGAATTTCTGTCGCTCCCCAGATAGTTCCAGTGAAAAATTGCAGTTTCATTTATTTTGTACTAGTCAGCTCTTAATTAAGCACACGAATGAAGAGAAGCAGTTGGTGCACATGATCCAAATCAGTGAATACCATTTTCTGGCGAAGTACCCACCCCTTTGCCCCTGCTACCCTGAGGGTTACCATGATTGTCAACAGCAATAGGAGCCCTTCCAGAGGCTTGTTTTAAAAAAAAAAAAACAGTTGAGGTGTTAATGATCCTTTGCTGAATGCAAAACCAAGCATCTTTAACCACTGTTCATTATCCCTAGCTGCTCTTACCAAGGCTTTGAAGGGAGAAATTATGTTCCAGGCAGCCACAAGTGTTAGAGGAAACAATCATTCTTATATAATCCACCTTATAAACCTTGGCCTTCTCGCTCCATCCCACTTGTACCCAAACAGTTTTATAGCTGTAAAATACCTGCAGAAAATAGCAGAAAGTAATGGCAGCAAATAGTATTTATATTTCAATTGGATTTATTTGTTTGTACTGATGGCAACAGGTTTTCCTAATTCATTTTCTCTTGGTCTAATATTAATTTTTTTTTTTTGAGACAGAGTCTCATTACGTCGCCCTGGGTAGAGTACTGTGGCATGACAGCTTACAGCAACCTCAAACTCTTGGGCTTAATTCTTTGCCTCAGCCTCCCAAGTAGCTGGGACTATAGGCACCCGCCACAACACCTGGCTATTTTTGTTGTTGTTGTTGTTGCTGTTGCAGTTGTTATTGTTCAGCAGGCCCGGGCCGGGTTTGACCCCACCAGCCTGGGTGTATGTGGCTGGCGCCCTACCCACTCAGCTACATGTGCTGCCCTAATATTAAAAATTTTTTTTTTTGAGACAGAGCCTCAGGCTTTTCTCCTGGGTAGAGTGCTGTGGCATCACAGCTCACAGCAACCTCCAACTCCTGGGCTCAAACGAGTCTCCTGCCCCTGCCTCCCAAGTAGCTGGGACCACAGGTGCCCGCCATAACGCCTAGCTATTTTTTGGTTGCAGCCGTCATTGTTGTTTGGCGGGTCCACGCTGGATTTGAACCCGCCACCTTAGGTGTATGTGGCTGGTGCCTTAGCCACTTGAGCCACAAAATATTTTTTAGAATACCTTAGCAAACTTACATGAAGACTGGGGGGAGGTAGGGAGAGTCACCCTGCCACACACAAGTATGAAAGAACACTAACCTAAAATAGAGTTGGCACGATGGTAAACCTAGACCCTTAACACCTATAACTTCAGCCCTTTTCTTTGATCTTAGTAAAAATTGGTATGAAGTGTGACTGCCTTAATGTTCAAATATCATTCTGCTGTGATTCGAGTGAGTTTATCCAGTGGCAGTGGATTGCACTGAGCTAAGCATATTCTAACCTGGTTTCCTAGCAACAGATGTGGATGAGATGATAGGCCAGGGCTGAAAAATACAGTCCATTACCTAGGAAAAAAGCAAAATGGATTATGTAGAAATGAAATGACCCAGTGAGATGCTCATCTAATTCCCGAGTTAACCAACAATAGGCTGTAAGCTCAGGGATGTTATGCTGGCTCTTGGGATCATAATATTTATATGATCTCATATAAATATTAAAATGTCTTCACGTTCTTGTAGTGCTTTATGGTTTAGAATGTATTTCCTATATTCCCTGTGTACCTCCCATAATCCTCTGAGACAAGGCAGCTATTAACTCTCACTTTTATAGATGAATAGGTTGAAACATGCCGGAATAACTTAGCTAACAGTGGAAACAACCCAATGTCCATCCGCTCTAAATGAATAAAATGTGATATCTATACAATGGGACATTATCTGT